AAAGGCAAAGAGAATGCTGTAGGAGATGCCAAAACAAGAGGCCAAAGCCAATGTGGCAAAGAAGGCCGGGAGCAATGGCCAAGGAGAACATAGAAGGGAACGCCAAAATAGAAGCCAAAGAGAACGTCACAGGGAACGCCAGAACAGGAGGCCAAAGCAAATGCTGAGGGAACGCAAAAACTGAAGACCAAAGACAATGGGGCAAAGAAGGCCGACAGCAATGGCCAAAGAGAACGCAGCCACGAACGCCAGAACTGAAGGCCAAAGAGAATGTTGTAGGGAATGCCAGAATGGGAGGCAAAGTGAATGTGGCAAAGAAGGTCAAGGACAAAGGCCAAGAGAATGTGGCACAGATGGCCAGAACCGAAGGCCAAAGAGAACGCAGCGAAGGTGGCCGAGGGCAAATGGCCAAGAGAATGCCACAGGGAACGCCAAAACAGGAGGGCAAGAGAACACAGCAAGAAAAGCCAAGGGCAAGGAGAATGCTTCAGTGAAAGACCGGAGGCAAGGAGAACACAGAAAGAACAGGACAGGCAGCCTTCTGGGCACCATGAAGTACATAAATGAGCTCTGGGAACCCTACCTTGTGCCTCATTAAGTAATGAGTAAACACTGGTGGGTGTGCATTGCCCTTACCTGCTGGGCAGACAATTACCAGCCAGCAAAGCGGGGTTCCGGGGCATTTGAAGAGATGCAGATTCCAGTTCCTTGCTGTCACTGTGAAGAGCCATGCATCTCCATGCTGTCCTTAAAGCGCTCAGGAGCACCGCAGCTCTGCTGCCACCTGTTGGACACAGCGCAGTAATGAAGGCGCTGCCCCACATGTGTGGGGCTGCACCCCGAGCACATTGCTGTAATGATGACGCACGGGTTATAATTAATTATAATTATAATTAACGTTAGGGATATAATTAATGCTATTGATAGGTTTGAAGTTACAGTTAGTTTAACATTAGTATTCTGCACCACAATTACAATTAAGGTTATTTGACAGAAAACACGGGGCGTTATTTTTATGGCAGCATTCAGGTTAAGAGACATTTTTAATACTGGGGTAAGGGTTTGGTTCACAGGTACACTGCAGGTTAACACAATTATCGTTAGAACTCCCATTCAGCTATGGGTTCAGGTGAAGGTTAACTTTAATGCTGCCTCCCAGCTAATCCCAGAGTGCCAAAGGCAAAGGCAAGCAGGACACCCAGGGCAGGCAAAGGGAAGCAGAACTCCCATGGAATGCCAAGGTAAATGCAAAGCAAACAGCCAAGCTAAGGCAAGGGCAAAAGCAAAGAGAGCACCCAAAGGAAAGCCAAGGTGATGGCAAGGAGAACGCAACAGGAAAGGCAAAAATACACAGCCAAAGAGACCACAGCAGGAAAGGCCAAGGGCAAAAGCCAAGAGAACACAGCACAAAATACCAAAACAAAAGGCCAGGGGAACACAACACGGAATGCCCGAGGAAGGGATGAGAAAACACGGCAGGAAGTGCCAAAATAGGAGGCCAAAGAGAACACAGCAAAGGAGGCCAATGCAGAATGTGGCTGGAACACCAAGACAAGAGGTCAAAGAGAACACCGTAAGGAATGCCCAGGCAAGGGTCAAGAGAACGTGGCAGGAAATGCCACAACAGGAGGGCAAGAGAATGCTGCCAGGAATGCCAAAATCGAATGCTGAAGAGAATGTGGCAACAGAAAGCCAAGGGCAACGGCCAAGAGAATGCGGCATGGAACACAAAAACAGGATGGCAAGGGAATGCCCAGACAAGGGCAAGGGCCAAGAGAACGTGGAAGGAAATGCCAAAGATAATGGCCAAGAGAACACGGCAAGAAATGCCAAAACAGGAGGGCAAGAGAACACAGCAGGGAACGCCAAAACTGAATGCCAAAGTCAACGTGGTAAAGAAAGCCAAGGGCAACGGCCAAGAGAATGCGACATGGAACACGGCCAAAACAGGAGGGCAAGAGAATGCCCAGACAATGGCAATGGCTAAGAGAACATGGAAGGAAATGCCAAAACAGGAGGGTGAGAGAACACGGCACGGAACGCCAAAACTGAATGCTGAAGTGAATGCAGTAAAGAAAGCCAAGGGCAATGGCCAAATGAACGTGGCATGGAGCACAAAAACAGGAAGGCAAGAGAATGTAATAGGAACAGCAAGGGCAAAGGGAAAGAAAACACTGCAGCGAAAGGCCAGAGACAAGGAGAACACAGAAAGAAATGGACAGGCAGCTTTCTGGGCACCATAAAGTGCAATTAAGAGCTCTGGGAGCACCGTGTTGTGCCATGCTATGGAGTGGGTAAACACTGGTGGGTGTGCATTGCCCTTACCTGCTGGGCAGACAATTACCAGCCAGCAAAGCGAGGTTCCGGGGCATTTGAAGAGATGCAGATTCCAGTTCCTTGCTGTTCCCGTGAAGACCCACACATCTCCATGCAGTCGTTACGGTACTCAGGAGCACCGCAGCTCTGCTGCCACCTGTTGGACACAACACAGTAATGAAGGCACTGCCCTGCAGATGTAGGGCTGCACCCTACACACATTGCTCTAATGACAACACAAGGGAGAGTTACGGATATAATTAATGCTATTTATAGGGTTGAAATTACAGTTAGTTTAACAACAGCATTCTACACTACAATTACAACTAAGGTTACTTTAACAAAAAACATGGAGCATTATTTTTATGGCAGCATTTAGCTTATGAGACATTTTTAATACTGGGTTAAGGGTTCCATTTACAGATAACTGCAGGTTAATGTAATTATCATTAGAACTCCCATTAAGCTATGGTTTCAGCTCAAGTTGAACACTAACGCTGTCTCCCAGCCAATCCCAGAGAGGCAAAGGCAAGCAGAATACCCACAGAAAGCCACAGCAAAGGCAAAGCAAAGCAGGCAGCCACGGCAACAGAAGGGCAAAAGCTAAGGAAAAGCACAAGGAAAGCAAGGGCAAGGAGAGGGCAACTGGGAAGGCCAAAGAGAACGGGGCCGGGAAGGCCAAAGAGAACGGGGCCGGGAAGGCCAAAGAGAACGGGGCCGGGAAGGCCAAAGAGAACGGGGCCGGGAAGGCCAAAGAGAACGGGGCCGGGAAGGCCAGGGCAATGGCCGAAGAGAACATAAAAGGGAATGCCAAAACTGAATCCTGAAGAGAATATGGCCAAAGAAAGCCAAGGGCAACGGCCAAGAGAATGTGACATGGAACACAAAAACAGGAGGGCAAGAGAATTCCCAGGCAAGGGACATGAGAATGTGGAAGGAAATGCCAAGGATAATGGCCAAAATACATGGAAGGATGTGCCACAACAGGAGGGCGAGAGAACACAGCACGGAACGCCAAAACTGAATGCCGAAGTGAATGAGGCAAAGAAACCCATGGGCAATGGCCAAATAAAAGTGGCATGAAGCACAAAAACAGGAGGGCAAGAGAATGTAATAGGAACAGCAAGGGCAAAGGGAAAGAAAACACTGCAGCGAAAGGCCAGAGACAAGGAGAACACAGAAAGAAATGGACAGGCAGCTTTCTGGGCACCATAAAGTGTAATTAAGAGCTCTGGGAGCACCATGTTGTGCCATGCTATGGAGTGGGTAAACACTGGTGGGTGTGCATTGCCCTTACCTGCTGGGCAGACAATTACCAGCCAGCAAAGCGAGGTTCTGAGGCATTCGAAGAGATGCAGATTCCAGTTCCTTGCTGTTCCCATGAAGACCCACACATCTCTGTGCAGTCGTTACAGCACTCGGGAGCACCACAGCTCTGCTGCCACCTGTTGGACACAACACAGTAATGAAGGCACTGCCCTGCAGATGCGCCTCTTTCACAAACCTGCACTCCTTTCTCTGATCAACGTGGCTGCACTCCATGCACAGTGCTGCTTACCAGCAGCAGTGAAGCTGGGAACAATAGATAAGGAGAAGGCTCAGGTACCCAACAACGTTTTTGCTTCCATCTTCTCTGATAACTGCTCATTATACACAGCCCTCACCTTTGGTTTGGTAGGTGGGGATTGAGGAAGCAATGCCAGTCCCACAGACCCCTCCCTATACTACACTGTGATGGGAGATCAGGTTCTGGACCACCTGAGGGCCCGAACATCCAGGAGTCTTTGGGTCCTGACGAGATGAGTCCCAGAGTTCTGAGGGAATTCACCACTGCAGTCACTGAGCCACTCTCAATGGTATTTCCGAAGTTGAAGCAGTCAGGAGAAGACCCTGATTAGTAGAAAAAAAAAAAAAAAAAAAAAAAAAAAGCAACAGCACACCTGTCATTACGGATAGAAAGTGTGACCCGGGGAACTACCAACACGTCAGTCTCACCTCCGTGCTGGGAAAAATCGTGGAGCAGATCCTCCTGGAAGTGACTCTAAAGAACACGTTCCAGTGCATCACCACCCTCTGTATGAAAAGCTTCCTCCTAATAACCAACCTAAACTCCCCCGTCTCAGTTTAAAACCATTTCCCCTTGTCCTATCACTATCCATCCTCATAAACAGCCCTTCCTGCTTATACATTCCCTTCAAGTATTGGAAGGCTACAATGAGGTCTCCCCCAAGCCTTCTCTTCTCCAGGCTGAACAAGCCCAAATCCCTCAACCTTTCCTCATAGGAGAGCTGCTCCAGCCCTCTAATCATCTTAGTGCCCTTCTCTGGACCTGCTCCAAGAGCTCCACATCCTTCCTGTGCTGGGGGCCCCAGGCCTGGACGCAGCACTGCACATGGGGCCTCACAGGAACTGAGTAGAGGGGGACAATCACCTCCCTCTCCATGCTGGCCACTCCTCTTTTAATGCAGCCCAGAACACAGTTGGCCTTCCAGGCTGCAAGCGCACTCTGCTGGCTCATGTCCACCTTCTCATCCACCGGGATCCGCAAATCCTTCTCTGTGGGGCTGCTCTCAAGGTGTTCTTTGCTTAGTTCATCTAAACATCTGGGATTGCCCCTTCATCAGTGACACTGACAGTGAACCCTACTGACACTGAGCTGTGGGGTGCAGTGACACACCAGAGGGACGGGACGCCATCCAGAGGGACCTCAACAGGCTGAGTAGTATACCTTCCCAGCCCAGAAAGCCAACCGTGTGCTGGGCTCCATCCAAAGATGCACGGTCAGTAGGCAAAGGGAGGTGGTCCTGCCCCTCTGCTCTAGTGAGACCTCACCTGGAGGTGCTGTGTCTGGATGTGGATACCCACAGTGCAGACAGACGTGGAGCTGTTGGAGCACGTCCAGAGAACAGCCACAAATATGAACCGAGGGATGGAACACCTTTCCTATAAAGAGAGAGAGAGCTGGAGCTGTTCAGCCTGGAGAAGTGAAGGTTTCGAGGTGATCTGGGAACAACCTTTCAATACCTAAAGGAAAGAACAAGAAAAAAAAATTTAGCTTAGATATAAAGAAAATCTTGTACAGTGAGGGTGGTGACACAGTGGAACAGGTTACCCAGACACATGATTGTCATCCTGTCCCTTCCAAGGCGAGGCTGGGTCAGGCTCTGAGCAACCTGATCTAGTTGTGGATGTCCTTGTTTGTTGTGGGGGAGTCAGACCAGATCACCATAAATGGCACCAAGTACTCCAGTTCAGATGCTCCACATCAGTCACAGAGCCTCTCTGTGCCAGACCCAGCATTCAGCAGACCAGGGGCCACATTTTGTCACACCGCTGGGTCCCAGAGCTGCAGAGCTACTTAATGTGGGTCAGGGAATGGGAGGAAGAGGGGTGGGAGTTTGGGAAATTAATAGCATCCCTGACAAATGGGATGAGATATCTGGGGAAATCCTGACTGTAGTCATCCAGAAGAGGACAATCCTTTCTTTCTTATTAACACAAAGCCAGATCTGCCATTAAAACAGAAAGAGCTGTAGGACCCTGGGGTGGTCAGCCACAACGTGCTCTGACAACGATGCCCTGGGATCCATTATCACTGACAAATCCATAAGGGAGATATTGGAGAGAACCGTAAAACAGGAACGGAACACCTGTGGTCAGTATGCTCGAGTGGTGCAGACTGTATTATACTGAGCGAGGATGTAGTAAATGGCCACTGGGGTTCAGGTCCCGGCTGATGCACCTCACTCTATGAGCAGCCATGGAGCTTACAGGGATGGGAGCACAGAACCAGTAGAGCGAGCCCATTTTAAGCCTATTCCATCCCCAAGTGAGTTTCCCCACAGTCATCACAAACCTGCCTGCATACAAGCGATGCGCCAACACAGGGCTTGTGATGTTCCATTACCTGCTCTGCAGTTCTCACACCACTGATTAGAGGAGCCCTGGCAATCCTTAAACCCCATCGAGCTGCAAAATAAGATCAGAAGAAACACAAAACATAATTTAATACATGATAATTATGCACAGAACACCCTTAAACAACTCTGCATGGGTGGAATTAATACATGGCACTGTTCGCTACAGCCATGAAACGGGCTGGGATGATGTGGCAGCAAACAAACTATGTCTGGAGCCCCAGGTTGGAGATTATGTGGTGAGAATCATGACAAGGGAACAGGCTCCACCAGAGGTAGTGGGCTTAAAGAGACTTACAAATGCAATCTACAAAATGCAGAACCCCTTTATGGAAGTGCTCAGTCAGCCAACCAGCATTATTGGGGATGATTGAAGCATTCCAGAAATGAGAAAGCATTGAAAGAAAGAAACGTATACCAATCCCTCCATCAGCAACTCAGAAAGGGAGAGAAACCCTTTCTCTCCCTTAGATAAGAACTGAAGGGCATTGTAAGGACACGCACAGCAGATACAGCTGCTCTAAGCCATTTCAGAATCCCCCGAGAAGGTGGAGTTCACAGCCCTGCAATAAAGAAAGAATTGCTCACCCCACTCCAAGTGCTTGCTCCACATCCCAAAGGAAGCAGTCTCCAGGTACAGATGATGCCTTTACAGCTGCCAGCCCTTAAACGTGGTCAGGATCCTCTAAAAAATGGGGAGTTCATAACCCTACAACAAAGAGGAAATCAACTGCCCCATTCCAAAGACAAACACTCACCCCACACTCTAAAGGAAGCAATCTCTAGACAGAGACCCTACCCTTACAGCTACCAGCCCTTAAACGTGGTCAGGATCCCCCAAAAAACACAGAGCTCACATCAAAATAACAAAGGAAATATTCACCCCACACACCCAAAGAGGCAGCCTCCAGGAAAAGAAAACACCCTTACAGCTACAAACCTTTAAATGCTGTCGGGATCCCCCAAAAAATGGAGGGATCACAGCCCTGAAATAAAAAAGGAACCACCCATCCCACTCCAAGGGCTCACCCCACACTCCAAAGGAAGCACTCCCTACTACCCTTACAGCTGCCAACCCTTAAAAGTGATCAGGATACCCCAAAAAGGAGAGATAATGGCCCTGCAATAAAGAAGGAAACACATCCCACACCCCAAAAGAGACAGCCTGCAGATACAGATCCTGACCACGCTGAAGGGCTGACGGCTATATGGGCAAGATCTAACAAAAAGAGAAGCCCACAGCCTTGAAACATAGAAGGAATCACTTACCATACTCCAAAGGCTCACCCAAGGCTTCCAAGAAGGCAGTCTCCACAAAGAGATGCTACCTCTATGGCTGCCAGCCCTTAAATGCGATCAGGGAGGGGTGGAGCCAGGCTCAGCCCTATCTGGTCCCATAGGAGAATTGCTTCCACCTGTGCTCGCAGGGCTACACCCCTCACCAGGTGCTTAATCACTACTTCAGACTGTGACCTCACAGTTCCTGTATGAAGAACGAAAAATAAATAAATAAAAAGTAATGACTGGCAGGTAATTGGGTCTGCCTGTCCAGCAATGGGAGGTTTATCAGTGGATGAGCTATGACGTACGTATGTATATGCCCACGTATTTTGATCCCAATCTGTCCTCAGAGACAATTGGTGATGTTTCTAATAGGTAGGGGAGCACAGATTTCAAAACACAGCAAGATGTAGAGAAGCTGTGTGTGCAGCCTGGACAGCAAAGGGTTGAGATTACCGGTGTGAATGGAGCAAGTGCTGTTGGCCAAACTGCCAGGGTCAGCTTATGGCTCCCCAGTGAGAAATGTGTGTCACCTGCTTGCTTTGCAATTAAAGACCATCATGAAAATATTTCAGGATTTGGTGTTGTATGGGAACTGCTGAGTCATGGCCTGAACCTCTGATTGATCACCCGAGGCGAGCTGTGAGTCAGCCAGAGGAGCACAGGTGAAGGCAATTCAATTCACCTGCGCTGCCGGAAGGGGTGGAGCCAGGCTGCACCTCTCCTAGACCTATTTAAGAGCTGGCTACCAGTAGGGAAGGATCTGTTCTGGAGGTTGCCCCTACTGGTGATTTGCAGGTAGACTCAGCCTAAGGGTAAGCCTTCCATTTATTCTCTTTTGTTATAATAGTGTACTTTGCCTATCTCTCTTTTTTATTTTGTGATTATAGCATCCTAACATTCTTTGATTATATGGGTGTCCTCAGTGGGTGAACCTGCTACTTGCCTCTATGTACCGTTACATTGGGATGTAATGCTGGGGTATCACTGGGATTGACAGCAGAGCAGGGGCTGTTGTTGGGGTGATGTTATTGAGATGATGGGTGATGCTGGGGTATTACTGAGGTAATACACATCAAGGAGTAATGCTGGAGTGATGCTCAGGGTTGATATTGTGGTGAGATTGGGATGATACTGCAGTGATGTGATGTGGTGGGGTGACACTGCAAGGTGATGTTGGTGCATCAATGGGGTTAAACATCAAGGAATGATGTATGTTGATGATATGTGTTGGAAATATAATATAGCAGTGAGAAAGCAGTCCAGGAGGTTTATAGACTTGTGGAAGATAGCTTCCTTACGCAACTGGTAGGCGGTGCCCTGCTGGACCTGGTCTTTGCTAACAGAGAAGGACTGGTGGAGAAGTGAAGATTGGAGACCGTCTTGGGCAGAGTGACCGTGGAACTGTAGAATTATCCATTCTTGAGGATGTCAAATGAGTGACCAGCAAAACCACCTTCTTGAACTTCTAGAGGGCAGACTTTGATCTGTTCAGTGTGCTTGTAGCGCGGGTCCCTTGGGAGTCGCTTCTCAAGGGTAAAGGGGCCCAGGAAGCCTGGACGCTCCTCAAGACAGAAATCTTAAAGGCACAGGAACAGGCTGTCTCTGAATGCCGTAGGGGAAGACGACCAGTGTGGATGAGCTGGGAATTACTGTTGAGACTCAAGGAGAAAAAGAGAGCCTACGTCCTCTGGAAGAAGGGGCAGGCTACTTGGGGAGATTATAAAGAAGTAGCTAAGGTATGCAGGGAGGAAGTTAGGAAGGCGAAAGCCCAACTTGAACTCAGATTGGCCTCTGCAGTAAAAGACAATAAAAAAATCCTTTTATGAATATATCAACGCCAGAAGAAGAACCAAAGATAATTCTCATCCTATACTTGATGTAGCAGGGAATGTGGTCACTGAGGATGAGGAGAAGGCTGAGGGCCTCAATGCCTTCTTTACATCTGCCTTTAATAGCCAGGCTAGTTATTCTCTGGGCTTTTTATGCCCCGATCTGGAAGTCTGGGACGCTGTTCAGAATATGCCCCCAGCGATTCTGGTGGAGATAGTCAGAGAACTTCTCCTCTGTCTGGACTGTCATAAGTCCATGGGACCGGATGGGCTGCACCATCAGGTGCTGAGGGAGCTGGCGGGGGTGATTGCTGAGCCCCTCTGAGCCATCTATCAGTGCTCCTGGTTAACTGGTGATGTCCCAGAGGATTGGAGGCTTACTGATGTGACTCCCATCTTCAAGAAGGGCTGTAAGGAGGATCCGGGGAACTATATGCCTGTTAGCCTGACCTTGGTACCAGGGAAGGTTATGGAGCAAATCATCTTAGATGAGATTGCACAGCATGTGTGCAGTGTCCAGGAGATCAGGCCTAGTCAGCACAGGTTCATGAAAGGCAGGTTATGCTTGACCATCCTCATCACCTGGCCCCAAACCTGTCTCCAAATCTAGGGCCCAGATGGATCCCTGCTATGACAACAAAAAGCCCAAATGCCCCAAATTCAGACCCTGAGCAGTATGACTCATTGCACCGTGCCTCGATGTAAGCTGCATGGACCCTCAGACTGCCCCAAAACAGCACAAAAGCCCGCGCCCAAAATACAAAGCACGCACTGTTGTTGACAAAGCAGTACGCATGCATCAGATCCGGCAAACACTACGCACGTGCCAAGTCCGACACAGCGTGCACCATTCCTGGCATGCCTCCACACCTGCCGCCAGTCGGAACACAGCCCTACGCACGCATTTGCATCGACACAACGCTACGCATGCGCCTTTCTTGGCACACCTGTACGCATGCGCTTTTCTCTTCATAGCATTACGCATGCGGTGTTTTCGGCACACCACCGCGCGTGCAGTTCCGAACATTTGCCACGCGGTGGCAGCAGAGACCGCGGACCACGAGAAATTTTATATTTTGGGGAGAAACTGTCATATTTTGGGGAGTAAAGTGGCCCCTTGGAGTCCCCAAGGCCCCTAAGAGCCCCTCAGAACACCCCAGTGCCCCCCAGCACCCCCTAGAGCCCCTCAGTGCCTCCAGTGTTCCATGGTGCCCCAATGAGCCCCTCAATGCCCCCCAGTGCCCCTCAGAGATCCCCAGTGCCATTCAGAGCAATGCAGTGCCCCCCAGAGCCTCCCAGTTCTCTCCAGTTGTCCCCAAGCCCCCCCACTTCTTTCCAGAGCCTCTCAGAACCCCTCAGTGCACATCAGAGCTCCCCAGGGACCCCAGTGCCCCTCAGAACCCCCCAAGTGCTCTCCAGTGTCCCCCAGTGCCCACCAGTACCCCTACGAGCCCCCCAAGGCACCCCAGTGTCCCCTCGGGCCCCCAGTGCCCCTCAGAGCCCACAATACAACCCAAAGTCCCCCAGTGCCCCTATGCCCCTCAGAGCCCATGACAGCCCCCCAGTGCAATTCAGAGCTTCCCATTGCTCCCCAGTATCCTCCCAGAGTCACCGAGTGCCCAACAGTGCCCCTTAGAGCCCTCCAGGGGCCTCTCAGAGCGGGCGGTACCACACTGAGCGCTGGCAGCGGACCCCTCCCCAATCCCACTTGGTCGGAGCACGGCCACTGCGTGTGGGATTTCCCCGCCGTCCGGGAACGGCTTTTCCCGGACAGGAGCTCAGCGGCACCGGAACGACAACAGCGGCTGGAGCTGCCCTCGGGTACCCGACTGCCGGGCTCCATCCGGGGCGGGTCAGTCCCACAGCGCACCAGGGAAGGGTCACCCGTCCCGGTCCTGGGGCCGGTACCGGTGCCGATGACCCCGGGGCGAGAGGGAAGTCCGCCCCCTCGGTACTCCCCTGTCCCCCCTCCTATTGGCAGCTTCGTAGCAAGCCCCGCGTCACCATTGGCCAGCACCGCCGATGGGCACCGCCCCCGCTGCATCCCCGCTCGGCCCCGCTTGGTCCGGAGCAGCCCGGGGGCACCGGGCACGGCGGCGTACGGGGTACCGGTACAGCTGTGACCGAGCACGAAGAGGCCCCGGGAAAATAAACACCCCGTCCCACAGGAGGAGCCCCTGTAGCTCTGGTGCAGGTAAGGGCTGTAGGCGTGGGGCTCGCTGTCCCTGATATCGTTTCGCGGGGGGCTGCATGCCCGAGATTCTACCCGAACCGCGGCTCTGTGCACTGGGGGTCACTGGGAGGTTCTGGGGTTCACCGGCGGCGGCAACGGAGGCAGCTTCCCCTGTCCGGGTGGCTCTGAAAAGCCGGGGGGGGGGGGGGGGGGGGGGGGGGGATGGAACTATGCGCCGAGAGAACTGAGCGGCTCCGGGCTGCCCCGGGGCTATGTGCTGCATAGTGCGGGAAGAAGGGGGTCCCGGAGGTGTCCCAGGGCACGAGTGTGGGACTGAGGGCCGCGGTGAGGCACAGTTTTGAGGGACGTGTTGATGGGGCAGCTGGGTCTTGTGTGGGGCTCTGCCTCGGCTTTCACTCTGGATAAAATATGGGACAGCAGCAAAGAGGAGAGGGGTTCACTGCAGCAGTTGAAGAAGCATACTTTGGTCCCCATCTTCCTGCATAGTGGGGGGTGTTTGGGTTTGTGCAGCTTGGGGGAGCTGAACCAGGGTCTGAAAAGGGAAGCGGAGAAGCGGCTCCGGGAAGGATGTGATATGCTGTTCCGTGCACAAACAGGGCCATGGTGCCCAACATGGCTCTCACTCCATGGCAGCCCCAACCTGCACATGTGGGGGACTTGCGGGGCACCACAGCTCCCAGGGGCCTAGAGCCCTCCCCCCTCCCCCCCAGCACCACAGATGGACCCCTGAGGCTGGGAGGATTCCGCCTGGTGTGACATGACACTGTCCTGACTGCTGCAGAGCACACCAAAAAGTTTTTAGGGTGCTGCAAACATTGTGTTGTGACCTGAAGTACAGCATCGCTGGAGGAAGGCTGCAGCAGTGGTCCCATTACAGAACTGTCTCCATCAGGATAAAGTCTATCTGCAAAACTTTGCTTAGCTTTGCCCTTGCTGCAGCCTTCCAGGGGCAGGAAGTGTGCACTGTGCTGTGCAGCCTCGGCACTGCTGCTTCCCCCTCTGTTTTGCACTTCCCCATCGCTCTCCTGAGCCTCTGTCTCCTCCTGGTGAGGGAGAAAGGAAGTTTGTCTCTCACAAGAGAGAGTGGTCGTTGTCTGCCTGATAAGGGAAGGAGGAAATAGAAGGCGAGATGGGTGCTCCAAAATACCCCCTTCCTCCTCCTCGTGTTGCAGCTGCTGAGCCCCTGGGCATGATGACACCACCAGATCTCCAAGCATGGCATAGAGGTGCTTTCCCCAGGGGCCCCCTCAAGGTGCCAGCAGCTGTTCCCACGCAGCGTCCATGGCCATGTCCCCAGGGAAGGGAGCACTGCGGGAGCCCTCTTCCCTCCCATGCCTGAGGCTGGGGCTGGTAGTGGGAGCCCCTCACCCAGCTCCATGCGTGGCCATGTTGGAGCTGCTGGGCACACTGAAGTTCCCAGGTGCCCATTCAGATCTGGGACCAAGTCAGGTGTTTCCCAGCCCTGCAGGCTGCTCGGGGATGCTGGGCTAGTTGCAATGGAGCTTGTTGCAATGTTCTTGGCTTCTGTCCCATTGGGTGGCAGGGGGCACCAGGATGAACAGTGATGGGTGCATGCAGGGTGCTGCAATGACTCTTCCTGTGGTCTGGCTCTCCCCTTCTCTCAGGCCTTCTGTGCTGCCTTTGGCCCCTTGTCACCAAGGTGATTGTGCCCTGTGTGCGCCACTCTGCTGTGCTGCAGGAATGGGCAAGACACTTTTTCCTGGAGGGATTTCAGGTTATAAAAGCTCAAAAACCCCCAAAGGCATTTTGCCATCTTGGGTAGACTCTTCCCCTTTTTTTGCTTCTGCTGAAGATCTGGGCTTGTGCTCCTGACCCCAGCACAGCCACCAGCAGGATGGCATGGGGCTATGAGCAGTACTGGAGCAGCTCTTAGCACTGCTGTGTTGCTGCTGCACGGCCGAGGGAAAGGGAGTCATGGCCCAGAATTCAACAATGAGTCCCAGAACAGCAGAGCAGGGCCACACAGCAACCAAGTGAGGCATTGCGTAGGGCTCAGGATTCGTCCCCACAGTGTTCTTTGTCCCCTGCCCTCACTGTGCTCCTGTTCACTCTGTTGGGTCATAAGGTTTCCCCTGTGCTGCAGGGTGCTTCCCCTCTGGCCTCATACTGCTCTGCACACATGTTCCTGCAGGGCTGTGTGCACCCATGACAACACACACACAGAGCAGTGACAACCAAAGGTACTGGCTTCCTTCTGTGTCACCCAGCACGTGGCTGGGAGGGCTGAGCACTGTGGGGTCAGGCTCTGGTTACACCCCAGCAGCTCTGGCCCTTCTCCTGTGATCTGGCACAGCAGTGAGGTTTAATTAATTAATGTTGGTTGGGCGCTTGGTGGTTGGCAGAGGAAAGTGATAGGGGCGGCACTGGGGAGCAGAGCAGCAATGCGGCACAATGCGTGCATCTCCCTGAGTGGCAGTGAGGGGGTGTAGCACACACAGCACAGGGAACCAAGGAGATGGCAACCCTGAAATGTTGACTTTTAGCATTGGCCCTAATAGGAGACAGTGGTGCTGCCCTCAGGACTGTGTTGGAGGGAATGGAAGTGTGGTGGGGTGGGCAGGAACATAGCTGGGAGGTGGAGGAGCTCCGAGCTCAAGCCCTCCTTTCTGCACGCTTGCTCCACACTGCCCCATGCATTATTGAAGTGTGTTTGCATTTCTGCATCAAATATTCATCCCGCTGCCATGGGAGCTGCTGTGGGGTTGCCAGGAGTGCAGTGGGGTTGTATGGTGAAGTGCTGTGGGCGCCTGGTGATTGGCACCCGGATCGACACCAGTGTGGGGTGAGTGTGGGGTGTGAGACTGGGACTCCCCTGACCCCAGTAATGGGGTTTTTGTTCCCTCTGTGGATGAGAATTTCATCCCCCAGACCAGAGGGTCTCCTCCTTCTCCACCCCACCTCTGCACCTCCTGTTCCTGTATCTCCAGGTCTCTTTCTGCTCCTGCAGCTGAGCAGCTTTCAGTGCTTAACCAAAGCCCTGAGCTGAAACAAGGACCTTGCATTTGCCCAGCCTGGCGGGAACTCATTGCAGTGCTTTGGGGTGTGTTGGAGCATCACCTTCACAGGTCCCACAGGATATCCGGGTATAGAACCCAGTGCAGATGTTGCAGCCTTCAGCAGAGCCCCATGGCGTGGCCATGCCTTCAAGTCCTGCTGGAGTCTGCAAAGCTCCCAGGAAGCTTGACTTTTCTCAGTTGGGTTCAGATTCCTGGAAAAAAGTCCAAAGAAATGACAGTGGCTGTGTGCAAAGCCACCATTCATTGCCAGGGCGACGCTACACTGTGCTCTTCCAGAGCAGGGCTCAGTGTACAGTAGTGCTGCTCTTTCAGTAGCAGACCCTGGGTTTCAAGGGCGTTTTCATTAAGAAGAAGAAGGAAAAAAAAACAAGCCCAGCATAGGGCTGCAGACTTGAGTGACAGGAAGGAAATTTGGTGGTTTATTTCAGTCTGCAGACTGCTCAGTAGGGCAAAGCAGACTCTTCCGCACACTGATAGTCGTGACAGCCCCTCCGCCAACAATGGGACCAGGGGTCAGTGGGACCCTTCCCAGCAGGAAAAAGCCCATAAAATCTCCCACTGGGAGCTGATTGAATCTTTGGGGTGTGGAAGCTTCCCCCTGGGATCAATGCAGAAGCAAAGTCCGTGACTGCAGTTGAGTGTTTTGGAGGAGTGGGCGCTTCCTATTTTTTCATGATTCCATGGGTGGAGTTTGCTTTTACTCGTTGACTGTGGTTGCCCAACAAAGAGCTCAGGCGTGGGAATCTCTATTTATACAGGCACTGCTCCTGCTCAGCATCCTGTAGCACTGGGAGCATTCAGGGCGCAAAGCCCATTGCCAATGGGGGGGCTCATGGCCTGGGATTGCGGCTGGGGCCATTTGTGAGCCCAGGACATGGGCTCAGCTCTGGCAGCACCGTGTGTATGGGGCAGTTGGCAGTTCTCCTCTCTGTATCTAATTTATTCTCACTCTGGCAGTGTCCTTTAGCTTCAATATTTCTTTTCCCTCCACGATCAAGAGAACCAATGGTGATGTATTTATAGAGCAATCCCTTCCCTGCTCTCCTTTTACCATTCTGACTGTGCTGCATGCAGATAATTGCATAAGCAACCTGCATCTCTCACTCATCCTCGCACTGGAACAGCTGTCACCACACAGAGCTGCACGTGGCTACAATGGGTGACTCAGCCCCACCTGTCTCAACCTACAGGAAATGAGTCAGGTTGTAAGGAAGCAGTAAAGTGATGGGACAGGAGCCCCTTCCTGCAGTGCAGTGCAGTGGCAATCTTGGGAAGTAGAAGAGTGAAGGTCTCATGGGAATTGTACTGCAGTTTTACCCCAGCAACTAGGGAAGAGAGTCAGGAACACCCCATACGTCATCCCTAAACCAAAGCTGGGGTGTGAGCTCCTCTCCTCTGGCAGCCAGAGCCTCCTGAGGAAGAGCTGCTCCTAGTCTTACCTTTAGTGCGAGGTGTGCGGGGAGGAGAGGATGTAGGGGCAGTTCCAGGATGTGGGCTGAACCATGTGTGCCTCTTTTTCCCCGCAGAGATGGACACCTTCAGCACCAAGAGCTTGGCCTTGCAGGCCCAGAAGAAGCTCTTGAGCAAAATGGCTTCCAAGACCATGGCCAATGTCTTCATTGACGACACAAGCAGCGAGATCTTGGACGAGCTTTATCGAGCCACGAAGGAGTACACCCACAATCGCAAAGAGGCCCAGAAGATCATCAAAAACCTCATCAAGATTGTGATGAAGCTGAGCGTGCTGTACCGCAATGGGCAGTTCAGCCCTGAGGAGCTGCTGGTGATAGAGCGCTTCCGCAAGAAGGTGCACACCTTGGCCATGACAGCAGTCAGCTTCCACCAGATAGACTTTACCTTTGACCGCAGGGTCATGTCAAGTGTGCTGACGGAGTGCCGAGACCTCCTGCACCAGGCTGTCAGCAGCCACCTGACGGCCAAGTCACACTCCCGCATCAACCATGTCTTCAACCACTTTGCAGACTACGAGTTCCTCTCAGCCCTCTACGGGCCAGCCGAGCCCTACCGCACCCACCTGAAGAGGATCTGTGAAGGTGTCAATAAGATGCTGGAGGAGGACAACATTTGAAGCCATTGGTGGCAACATGATTCAGCATCCCATTACCTATGAGCCTGAAGACAGGACATACAGACATTTTGGTGATGACGGGGCTTTGTCCTCTTCTCTGTGATGCTAACTCTCTCATTTTCTCCTCTTTATATAAAAGACCAAACCTCCTGACTTTGTCCGTTCCTTGCCCAGGATCTGCAAACCTTGCTCCTGGCTGAGTTCTTTGCAGTGCTCCAGGGCTTCTGGCTCCCTGGGCTCCTGCTGTATTCTTGGTTTTCCTTTGCCCATGAAGTGCTCTTAGCTCTGAGTCCAAGGAACTGGCCACAACTGGATTCTCCACTTTGAACTTGACTGTAATCCTTCTATAGAAAACAAACCAAAGACTGGCAGTGTGCAACACCAATCCAAGCAGATGGGCAGCTGCTTGGTGAGGAGGTGTGATACCATTATCATGGCTCTATTTTGGCAAGGTCTCAGCACCTCCATGACACAGTGGGAGCAAGCCATGCTCTAGGTTTACGCTGCCCAGCTTAGGAGGGTACTTCTGTGCCTTGCAGGCTGGAAGGGGTTTTGGCCTCCCAAGGGCAAGTCCTGGCAACCAGAAAGATCCCCAATTGCACGGGTGAGCAGTGGTCCCTCAGGGCTGGAAGCACACTGGTGGCCCTGTGTTCTCCTTCATCCTGGGCTCAGCTGGGATCCCCAAACAGCCTCCTGTGGATGGTATCACTGTGATCACTCAGATGCCTTCCTTTGTCATTGTCCCAAGTATTTCACACATTTTACATGTCCTTGAGTGAGTTCTAATTGTTTTTTACAAAACTCTGTAGCCCTTATGAGTTATTTAAATAAACTCAACTGGTTTGGCTTGGTGCTCTGTGTGGTTCATACAAAGCGGTGATGGTCACCAAACAAGTGCGATGGGCACTAGCTTGCTAGGTTTGTCCTTTGCATGAAGATTGCTCACTGTGCCTGAGGCTTCTGCTTTCCCTTTCCCTGGCATGACAACAAAGATCCTCCTCCTCAAACCGCTGCTCCCTGGCACAGCAGTGCTGCACAGCCAACGCTGAGGTGGTGGGAAAAACCATGGTGCAAAATCAGCACCAAAGGTATGGGGTCCTGTACATGCACCCACATGCTTCCCTGCATCAGTCCCTGTGCTGCACAGCAGGAATAAAAAAAGCACAACTCCAGTGACAAAAGGGAAGCGGCAGCCTTACAGTGCATTGTGCTCTCAGCATAGATGCACCAGCCTTGGCCTATTTCAAACATTGATCTTTGCTTTGAAAATAGACAAGTCACTGCGCAACATCAGCTGGCCTTATCTTGGTGACTTTCTTGTTCCTTGTGCTCTGTGGGATGTCTCCAGTGCTCACAGGTACAACCCAGCCACTCGCATCCACTGCTCCCTTCCAGCTGCCAGCTCAAGGCAGTGGTAAGTTTCAGCCTTTAATAGTAAAAGAAAGCCTCTACCTCCGTCATTTCATAGGCATGGCTTTAAGTATCGCGGCTAATTTAATTGTGCAAAGCAAGCTCGGGATGTGGAGTAAGGTGCATATACATGCATGAGCATAGGAGAATGCAGCCAAGAGTCACAGAGTTGTTGGCCCTTTGGAGAAGGCAGAGAAGGGTAGGCTTTGGTGTGCAACGTTTGAGAACAGATGTTCCTATCTCCATTGCGCTTTCTGCAATTGTCAGGTATATGCCTAAGAGTAGCTGGGGCTGCTAACAGCTCAGCACCGCTTGGTGGAGTGTCGGTAGATGCAGAGAACACAAAGTGGAATGGAGCTGATGGATGCTGCTGCGCTGGCAGCCAAAAATGCTTCACTGTTCTGTTCTCGATGCGCACATCAGCACCAGCTGCATCATGTTCCTTAACTGTATGAAGCATCTCTGCTCAGAGTAGTCCCTACTGAATCACAGCTGCTTTCTTTGTCCCCAAGGGTTCTTACTCTCCTGTGCGATAGAGAGGACCAAGCTCAACTCACAAAGTGCCTGGCACCAGCTTTCCCTCACTTTCAAATCCCTAATCTGAATGTTCTTCCCTGCACCCCACAGCAAACACACACCTCATCCTCAAACCCACTTTCCCATCCTGGTGAAGCCATGGAGAGCTCACCCTCTGCTAGCAGAGCCACCTCACAACCTAGATTTCTATCCCAACACTGGCCATCTGAGTCTGGGAAATGAGTCCCTTTGATTCTGTTTTGCTGACTCCCTCCAAGCAGCTGGTTTAAGGGAAAGAGATCACTCCTCAGACCTGCAGGTTATCTGCAATTCCAGGAGCCACCCAGTGGAGAAAGAAACGTCCAGGAACACTCTGGAAAACAAAGCCTGTAAAATTCCCAGTGCAAAGTACTCTCAAAGTTGAGGAAACTCCCACAAAACAGAAAAGCTAACAATGACCACAGTTGACACCAGGCATCAGCTCTGGGCAAAACACCTATCATGACAGCACTGGGTTACAGGTTCCTGTGGGCTGCTGGGATACCTCTTGGATGTGCAGATCCCCCATAAACCTGCAGCCACCTCCTGCACGACATCTCAGCAACTCCTGGCTAAGGAAGCGCTGAACTGGATTGCTAGGCATCCAGTTGGAGAACAGGAATCATAGACCAAAGCAAACCCAGGTGAGAAGATGATGCTTTATTTGTGTATTTACACAGGATAGGAATTCCATATTTCCTCGCTGTTAGTATTTTAGATAAGAAAAAAAATGCTTCTGTACATAGAAAATAGTCCTGCACTGTTACTGAGACATGAAAGTGTTGCTTGGATTGATTCCTGGGTTGTGCCAGAATAAGAAACTGCCTTCCCCATGCCAAGTTATCCCAATCTGCAATCTGTACTAGGACAGGAACAGAACATCCTCTCCAATTAAGCCAGTGATGGTTTTCCACAGTAGCACATAAGAAGTCAATTGGCTTTGACCAACCCTATCCCTTCCTTCCCCCTTCTACCCAATTTAATTTGTTTCTTCTGTAAAGCTTCCAGAGAAAGAAACCCTGTTACCACCTTCCAGAGACTCCAGGGTTAACAACTTTCATTTAGGAGATCTTGCTTAAATCCAGCTGCTGCATTGCTCCTCCTAGCAAGGAAGATAAAGTGCTGTTTTAGAGGGCTGCTTTACCATATTCAGCAGATCACTGAAGTAGAAAGCAGGCAGCAGAATGGCTGGCTCTAGATCAGGATTTTCAGAGGATGTTTCCAGCTGCAAAGCACACTGTTACTCTGACACAAGACAGAACGCATTTTTCTCAACACCTCAACGCCCCCCACTTGTCTTGGACCCTAGCGCACCTCAATATGGAAAACATGAAAGGTTTGGCCAACTGAAATAACTGCCAATAATAAGTAAACTCCATTGTCTGCCATGGTCTCCTGGCCAAAACACTGCCCAACAGCATCTTCAGAGTCACAGCTCATCATGGGGAGTTTTTGCTACAATCACGAGTTTCGACAGTTCAAAGCGGAACTTGCCTTCCCTGTGAGACACTACAAAGAGAAAAAACAAGTACAGGATAAACAGATGGTAAGGTATAAATAAAACAGCTCTGCTGGTTCCCTTCCAGGATGATAAAAAGCCAGCAAGTTGGACACTGACGTTCTTTACATGCACAGTACAAGCACTCTGTGATAAACCCATTCTTCCCTATGCCAATTAACACTTAAACAGGAAGGGGACCTGCAAAATCTTGCTGCCAACTATGGATCATGAACACTACACTGCTGACTCCATAATGTGCAGTGTCTGCCTCCATGCTGTCATCTATTGGCTTTAAGCTTAACTGCTCATCTCCTGGTAGACAACCAGGCTTGTCTCCCACACCAGGCCCTTTTTCATGTAGTTTTCGCAGTCACAGACCTGTCGTTTCAGTGATTTCGAATTCTTCCTGTTTTAAGGGGATGTCACTCTGTGCACCCACTGCAGCTTGAGACTGAAACAGGAAGGAAAAAAAGCTTATGCAATTGAGGTAATCTAAGAAGCTAGTGCATCTAAAGCAAATAAACAACATCACATTTTGAAAATGAAAAAACTTGTCTTTTAATAATGTGGAGTGAAATAACTACATCTGCAAAGGAAATCTGAAGGAAAATTCCTGGCTAGGTTTCCATTTCCTTTTAAACCACAAACTAGCAACCTTCAGATGACTGGAAGTCGAAGAGATGGAAGAATGAATTTGCTGAGACAAATCAAGGTGCTCCTTGTCCTGTGCATCCTGGCAGGATGGTGTCTTTTGGAGCCAATGACATTGGCAAAACCAGCAGTTAACCCACAGCATACAAGGAGCAGAAATTAAATAGTGCTGGAGGGTCTTTCTGCAGACACTCGGTCCTGACTGCCACCACTCTCTAATTAAGGGCATGGTGGAGTATTTTTTACTGGACAGATGTCTCATGAAAGTTTTCAATGTTCAACCCACATTTTACAGCAGCTTCCCACATGCCTATATATCAGAGTCATCAGCTTGGACTTACATAAGCCATGGCGTATTCTATCTTGGCTCCTTTCACTTCTGATTTAAACTGGGTGAAGAAGAGGTAAGACTTCCCTTGGGGCCTAAAATAAGAACACAGCCTTTGGCATCTAAAGCAGGGAAAGGTTATAATGGGAGGTGAGATCATAGGGAAGGGTCAGGCACAGTGGCACTCTGGTTCTTGGCTCTCTCTAGGCCACAAGCATTAGAGACCATCCTGCTCTGACTTTCCAGTGAAGGGGCAAATCAGACAGCTTCTTCTAATCCCTGCTGTTGGTAGAGAGGGTGGAAGTGTAGAGGAGTGGCAGGATACACAGCTCCCTCCCTCCACAGCCATCTCTAGCTCTTTTGTAGCTTCAACTAGTATAGTGAAGAAATCGGGGAAGAAACATCACCTGGCTTGTGAGACCTCCCAGAGTCACAGCAACTCCCGGGAGAGGAAAGCCAGGAAGCACCATCCCTGCTGCCACAGGGAAGAACCCTGGCCAAGCCGCCACCTGGCTTGTTGCTTTTCAGGTTAAACCACACACCTCCAGACAGAGCAGGAGAAGAGCAGGTTGTCTTCACTGACTCCAATGTTCATCTGCCATTGCTGCAGAGGGGAAAAGCCGCAACAGTTAATCTTGAGAAACATCTCCCATTTTCCAACTCATCCCCGCCTCCTAGGTGCAGGAGCACCACTGTGAAATTGCAAAACATAATTACAGAACAGCTGTTGATGGCCCCTTCTATTTTGTTTGCACAAAGCAGGAGCCCTGGTCACTCTTTCTCTTTTCCCCACAATTTCATCAGTGCAGTTATAGAAAAGAGTACAAGTCTCATACCATTTTACAATAAAATAAAAGGACCTGGTTCTATGCAGAGTTTCCTAAAAACTAAGGAGTTACTCCTCCAAGGCCCTTCCTACCTACAGGGGCATGAAATGATAACTCTGTTCTCCACTGAAAGCATTTGGCCCCAAGATTCATTAAAACTTACAAATGTCATGGCCTTGTGTGCCACAGCACTGTTGCAACACACAGAGGACGCTTCCATTAAAGAAGCAAACCCAACAACGCTATTTTTGCTAACACATGGTGTCGGAAATGGTGCCACCATCCTCCCTCAGCTCCTGGGCCCTGGAATCAGCTGATCACAAAGGAAACCACTTCCTTCTTGTAGAAAAAGAAGTTTCTTGTCCTGGCCACAACTAAACCTAGGGGACAAAATGATGACTGACCAACTGAGGCTTCTGGCAGAACAGCAGCCTTTTATCTCTGAGGCACATCAGTCTTTCCCAGTTACTACTGCTGTCAGCACTGATAACAACAGAATCCTGTTCTGTGCAGCCAGACTGAGCGCAAAGGAAGAATCCAAATTGCCCAACTCACCTCATTTGTTCCTCCCTGAGCAGAGTACGTGAAAGTGCAGGTGTAATCTCCCTGGAGAAAGAGAAGATCAGCAGCCTGGCCATGGAGTGACAAACTGTGTGAATCTACCTGTTCAACATCAGTACTTCACCAACATGAGACATGGGAACACCTGAGAAGGCCACGAGGGGTGTGGGCACAGAGGATCCCCCACTGGTCTGACTCTAGGAAGAGCCCCAGTATTGGTGGGGGCTGCAAAGCCCTCATCCAGGAGGTGCTCTAAGGGTCTCAACAGAACCCTGAGGATCTGGGCTAGGGAGTGGGCAGGAACCTGCAGTTCCCATCTCACCAGATCCCCTCAGCACACCCTTCCCTAGAGACTCCTCCTTCCCTTGGAGCCCCTCACTTTCCCTTGAAGCATCTCCTTCCACTGAACCCCCCTCTCGACCCGGCCTAGGGAGTTCTTGGTCACAGGGATCATCCCACCCTGGTGGCGACACATTTCCTTCAGCTAGTGGCCATTCTTTGGCGCCCCAGACCCCTTTCTCTTTGGAGACCCGATCCCGGTTCCTTCCTTCCTAGAGATCTCATTCCTTTCTAGTCCACCCCCACCTGAAGGCCCCTTTCCCAGGCATCGCTCCCACAGCAACCGGCCCAGATCCCCCACCTCCCACCCCTGTCATCTACCACTCGTCCCGCCTTCCCTGCTGTCAGCCAATCCCCGTGCCAGGAGCGAGGAACGACATGCGTTCCCACCAATCAGCGAGAGACGCGTACACTCTCCTCTCCCCGACCCTCCTCTCCCCTTACCAGGCTCCGGGAGAAAGAGTGAGCCTCTCCGCCGGGCCTCACGTCGAAATCAGCTGTGCTTGCCTCCTCCGCGGCCCGGACCGCTAAGCATAGCACGGCGGCCGGCACCACCGTGGCCCACAGCCACCGACTGCTCCGACCGCAGGGCGCCGCCATCTTGAAAAGGAAGCCCGCGCTACGGCGGGCGGAAGGGGTCAGCGCGGGCGGCGAGCGGTTAGGGGGCGCCGTGGCGGCCATCTTGTGTGTGGGCAGGGAGCCTGGGCCGGGACGTAGCGGAGTGAGGGCAGGGACTGCGAGGACTGTTCACGACTGGGACAAAGAGCCATTAGGATACGGGACAAAGTGACGGCGTCTACATGGACAGCGCCCCTGGAGCCATCCCGCGGGCTGGCCATTTCAGGGCTGTGTGTTCCCCTTTTTATGGCCTTGTGTTTGCTCTCAGAGAGAGCGAATCCCCACGGTATTTGATAGACACAGAAATAAGCAGCAGAAGGTGAAGGAAGTTAAGGTTTTTTTTTTCATGTGTGCTGCAGGTTTGCTTTGATAAGGAGTTACTTTATAAAGAGCTAGGCTAGGAGGGATAATGTTTGAGTTAGAGAGCTGCAGTTGTGGCCAAAAATCTCAGAGCTCTGGCATTTGAGATTCAGATGGAAGGAAAAGCACCTGATTGGGCTGTAGGCATCCCTGTTCTTTGCAGAGTGGGAGAAGATGGTCTTTAGAGGTCCCTTTCAACACAAACCATTCTGTGGTTCTATGAAAGGGGCAGAGAAAGCTCCTTTCACCAACCAAGAAAAGAAAAAAAAGAACCTGCTACATTAGCCATGCCTTAGCCCCCCTTAGCAGGCACAGAGTGATTAGCTATGCCATTTTTAATTGTTTCTCACACAGACAAAAGCCCCTTCCTGAAGGAAGCATCCCTATCCTCACAGCAAGGCAGGGGAGCAATCCCAGTGAGTGCCATCTTCCTTCCAGTCCAGGATCTCACAGCAGAGGAAAGCTGGCCTGGTTGGCCACCCCACAGTGGTTGTTGGCTCCCTTCAGCAGGCGGATGTAGCCCTGCTCACCCCACACCTCTGACCAGCTGCAGGAGGAAATGGAGAATGAGCGCATGTGCACTCCCATGGCACAGGAAGACGTGTCACATGTCATGGGATAGGGATACTCCTGCTGCATCTTTGACCTCGTAGAGGAGCAGTGGACAGGCTGAAAGTGATGGCAGATCTAAGCCACTTCTACCTATTCTTTAAGATCCAGTAGCTCACATTCTTCTTGCCCTCCTGGCTGGTACCATAGCCCACAGCCAACATCCCATGGTTCACCTTCTGGCTGCAAAACATACTGCTGAAGATGCCTGGAAAGAACAGAACTGAGTTGTCCAGGCTCTGACCCCGGTCAATTCATCTCCTGGAAAAAGGAGGGTGGCTGATCTTATTCCCCTTGGGCTGGGTGTCCTGTGGGCTCTGCTAGGGCTTGGCTGCCCAGCCCCACAGCAAGGCACAACTGCCTCAGTCTACCTAACCACACCTCTCCAGGTACAGTTGATACCTGATTTGTAGAAGTGAAAGAAGAAGCTGCTGGCATCCACTGCCACAGACACAGGGCCCACAGTTGCCACTGCCTGCTCCAGTGCTGCCTCACTGCCCTGGGCCACCAGCCAGACTGTGGAGCAGTTGGCCGCCCTGTCCCCAGGGTTGTATCGGCAGCTAGAGGTGTCCTGAGAGCAGGGAGAAAGCAGTGCCAGGGCTGGGACCCACAAGCACAGCTCTATCCCTGCTTGCCCACCTTCCTGCTGCCCCTTACTGTGGCCTCATAGGGGTAGACGTGCTCGGAGTTCATGCCACCACTGTCATGCACATACTGGAAGGCACGGGTCATGTAGCCACCTTGGCAACCGTTGTTGCCCAGCTTCCAGGAGCAGTCGATGAGGTTCTGCTCACTCAGCACTGCCAGCTTCCCCGTCCAATTAAAGACAAGTCCCTCCAGGGCCCCTGTGGCACTGAATGCCCAGCATGATCCACAGTGCCCCTGGGTGAGAGGGAAGTGATGGGGGGATCACAACATCACTCCAAAACGTGATGGAGGGTGACCCCATAGTGTTGCTTTCCAGCTCCTCATCTGCAAAACTACAAGAAACTGCAACAGCCAAAACTATAGGACTGCTAGGTTTCACAGAATTCTGGCCCTTTGGAGGATGCAGTCTCTGGTTTCTGCTGCTGGCACCCATCCTGTGGCCCTGGACAGAGCCCCCCACGTGCCTACCTGGTTCTTTACGGGTGTCACGTAGCCTCTCACCCTCCAGTCCACTTCTGCTGGGGTCTTCTGAGCTGCCGATGCCTGGAAGGTCAGTGCTGGCTCCTCATGCTGCACTGGAGTGAAGCCATTCAGGAGTTGGTTGAACTCCTCGTCCATCTGTAGGTGCATATGTGTGTGTGCAGGGCCACCTGCACTGCTGCTCCCCATGGGCAGGTTGCACCCCAGGGAGCACCATCACTCCAAGCAGAGTAGGCTGGGGGCACCTAGCCCTCAGATCAAGTCCTTGGAGGAGGTGCAAGTACCAGGTCCCCGTAATGGTTCATGCCCAGGCGGAACGTATGCTGCCCCTGCGACTCTTCCCAGTTGTGCTGCTCTATGCGCCGTAGGTTCTTCTCCCAGACCTCCCTGCGGATGACTTCAGCCTCCTGTCAAGGGGCAGAGCAGCTTGGGGCCAGGAACAGCCCCCAGGAGCATCAGAGGGGCCTTCCCAGGTATGGACCCTTCTGAAGCTGACCCCAGGCTGTCAGGCCCAAGGGAAGCTGAGCATGGCCAGGTCCTTCCGCAGCTGGTGCAGACGTACCCCAGGGTACTCCTTGGCATATAGGCTCTTCCACCCTTCCCAGGCCTCCTCCAGTGCAGGGTCCAGTGCTGTGATGTAGCCCAACAGGGCCAGCAGCAGCCCCAAGGGCACAGTCATGGCTCTGAACTGAAGGGAAAAGCAAAAGAAGGGATGAGGTAGGCCTGGGTAGAGCCCCATGGTTACTCTACAGCCCCTGGATTGGGCAAGATAAATCCTTCCAAGTCTAGATTAAAGATGAGGGGAAAGCAGAGAAAGGCAAGATATACATTTGTTCCTTCAGCTGGATCAACTTTTGTATGGACATGCAGCTGTTTTGACAGGAGCTTTAGAGGGTCTTAGCTGTCTGTCCCTTTCGTGGTATTTAACTGTCCTTTTTAGGAGAGGAATGAATGGCTTCACAAAAAACTGGAGCCCCATCCTGTTCCCTGAGTGGCAGAACAAAGCAAATGCAGACAAAAGGGCAGTGAGAAAAGCAGGTACAGCAGCACCGAGTGCTGCTCCAGGGCCACACTGGACACATTCCATCTGCCACCATGCAGCAAAAGCCCCTTTACCCACCTGCAAACCTGTCCCGACCACATTATAGTGTTTGTCCCCAGTTGTGCCTGGTAGCAGCTCAAGCACCACGTCCCCCACCATGGAGGGACTTGCAGGCTGCAGACAGTGGAAGCCGCTGGCTGCAGACACACCATCCCCACTCCTATCTGTCAGCTTGGGTGGCTCTGGAACACCCTAGTTTGTCCACCCTTCCTGCCTTTCTATGCTCCCTACAGTCTCTCCACAACTTTTATTTTCAAAATCCCTTACTCAGGGCTGCTGCATTTCTCTGCTGTCACACTGCCTCATGCTCCCCACCCCCTTCCTACAGCAGCACCCACCTCATGCATTCCTTCCTGTTGACTGCACCACTAACACTGAGACTGCATGTTGGCATCTCCAGAGAAACGTTTGCCTAGCGGCCTGAGAGCTGCAGCCAGCCCTGAGAGCAGCACCAGGAACAGGGATAAAGATATCTGCAATGCTTTCTGAAAAAAAAAAAAAAAAAAAAAAAAAAAAAAGGGGGAAAAAATGCACAGACCTTTCCCCAGGTTGTGCCTTTTGTTGGCTCTGCACAACCCTGGCTGAAGCACAGATGCATGAGGGAAGGTCAGAAGGGAAGAAAAAGGACTGGCATGAATGAGGCTGGGGGCCAGGGGGAATGCCTATGGCTCAGCCTCTGCATCCCAGTTCAGAGCAGCTTTGGGACTCGAGGCAAAACACAGAGCCCAACACAGCAAGAGCCACAGCTGCTGGGCTGGGACAATGCTGTTCTCACTTGAAAGCCAAGGGGAAGCTGCAACAGCCTCTGAGCAAGGAGCTTGAGCTAAAACCAGAGAAAATAAGTTTGTTTCTACACAAGGAGGAGGGCAGCACTGCAGTGAGGATTCCATGGGCTTTGGAGCAAAGCACTGCATCTGCCCCAGCTAAGAGGCAATGGGCTGGAAGCAGATGTGTGCATGCTTCTCCAAAAGTCCTCAGTGAGGACACGCCATGATCAGTTTACACTTTGCGTTTTGCAGTCTGACTCCCCCAGTCCCCCACCACTGCAGCCATTTGTCTTCCTCACACTGCTGCTGCACAGCCCACGCCTCCTTTGATGGAATCTGATGAAACGTATTTTGCAGCAAACTCAGCCATCCCACAGGCACTACTCTGCAGAGCAGCAACAGTGAGAGAACAGCACCCAGGACTGTGCCCTGAGCTTCCACTACTGCAGCTTTGAGAGAAAGAGCCATCACCACACCTTTATTCCCCAACACTTTAGGAACGGAGATGCTAAGAAGCTTTCCACTCGACCATCTTTCAGAGTAACAGCATCTAGCTGAGCTAATTCTGTAGCTCAAGAAGCAGTTCAAAATGACTTATTTTTGAAACAAAACATCTGTTCTCCACATCCTACACCTAAAAATAAAACTCCACACATTGGAGTTTCATGGGAGAAGTGCCTCCCAACAAACTCAGGCTTAGTACTGAGGAAGAGCGCCTTCCATCCGGCCTCTCCAGCATCCATCACAATGCCCTCCACTTCCTGCAGCCGTTACCACTTGCCCTCACAGGAAGTTAACTCTGTTCTATTGCAGCTGCAAATCCTCTATCCAAAAGAGCTACTTTGCTGCTTCATACTCCAATTCCCTGTCTCTCAGGACAGCTAGGTGGAAGCCTTCTATGCCATCTGTATTTCAATCTTGTTACATATAGAAAAACTTGGGTTTGTAGTGATTTTCCAAGTTAATGCCTCTCAGGATCTCAATACCCAACAGAAGAAAACTTTATTTTTTTATGGCACCAAATAATCCTGCAGCTTCAGAAGCAAGCTTGGAGGATCAAAGCAGCTGGCAGATAAACTGTTCATCTATAAAAGTTTAAGAGTGCATTGCAGACATTTTAAGAATACTTGTTCTTTTGGCACAGGAAGAAAACACTTGAGATTAAGACTTAAAATAAGCAAACCCCGCAAAATAAAGCTTCTTACCACGTACCGGCACCCACCCAGCTGTGAAGGGAGTGACTCTTTGTGAGGAAAAGCATACCCTTCTCTTAAGGAAGCTTCAGAGATGTGCAACTTCCTCCATTACCTCCCCTTCCGCTGCTCCTCAGACCTCAAAGATACACCAGAAGGTACTAAGCAGAGTGCATGATCGAAGCTAAAGCATGACCAAGAGAGCCAGGTGAATTCCTGGGCAAGAAATATGCTCACAGCCATATTGAGAAAACAAAATCCTCCAGCTGTGAGATGCTTTGCATTTAAAATGAAAGTCTCTAGCTTACATCCTCAGGGCATTTAATAGCAATTTAATTAATGCTCAACTCTAATACAGAAAGAAAAGCAGCAAAGCCAGGTTTTGTAGGCCTTAAGTGCCACAGAAAGCAAGCATGGGCGAGTATTCAGATACTTGCAAAAAGCAGCTCTATGCCCAGCACCCACGCGTGTCCTCCCAGCGTGGGATCAGAGCTGCCAGTGCTTGCAGATGAGCTGCCAGGCTGTTACTTGTGCCACAGAGCAGCTGCAACCCCAAGAAGTCAGAGGGAGCTGGGATGCTGGGTGAGGTTCCTATCTCCACGGCTGAGGCTACTTGCAAGCACGGGAAGCCTCCCTCCAGGTCATGCAGTGCCTGAATGGCAGAGCCAAGAACAGTCCAGGATTCCCAGCTCTCCACCCTGCAGCATCTTCAATTGCTGGATCGTGCTTCCTTTGAGGAACATCAAGGCTTTAACATTCTGTCCGCTGTCTGACACAAAAACCAAACAAAGCACTTTGCTTTTACCATAAAAGCAGCTTTACCCGTTGTAAGCCAGATGGTGCTTCCTCCCAAGCCCTCTCCCACACTCCAAAAAAAATACAAATGCCAACCAGTGCATCTCTTTCCAATATTTTAATGAGTTGCTACATCTTACACCCATAATTATAAAAGAATAAGAATCCATAAAAATATTTTCTTTTCATAATACGCACTTAAAATACTCCAGGGCAAGTCAATGTGGTTCATTTGGGTGTTGCTTTTTTCTTCTCTTTTCATCCCTGGCAGAACCCTTGGCTTGAGGGGCGGGGGGGTACGCGCTCCCCTGAGGTGCAATTACTCAATCCCCCCTCCCCAGAATTGCAGTTCCTGTTGACCAGGAAAATAAAAACCAAAAGAAAGCATATGCTGAGTAGATGGGTAAGGGGAACAGTCACTGACCTGCAGAGAACTGAAGCACAGCCAATTTCAGTGCACATCTGAAAGCTCAAGGTTTCAGGGAAGGAGAAGGTAGGATTGGGAGGCAGCATAAAGAATGGAGGGAGGAAGGACTTGCATAAATATTATCCATCTTGTGTTGCAAAAAAAACAAAAAAAAAACAAAAAAAACCCAACAACTTATCTCCAGAGAGATGATCTCTGGTTGTAGCCAGCTGCTTCAGCTGCTGTGCTACCTTTTGGCACAACTCTGGTTGTGAGCGGCCATTAGAGAAAGGCATGAGAGGGCATTGTTATCAACCCCAGCCACTTCCTCCATCTGCTCTGCGAAATAAAACTGAGAAATAGAAATGACTAGTGTTGCATGCTTCTGTAGACCTCTTCACATCCCAGGGCTCCACGCTGCTGCAGCAGGGCAAGGACACAGCACCAGCAATCATCTGCCCTGGGGCTTTAACAATACGTTCTTCTCTCTTCCCTCCCATTCCTGGCTTAAGGCAGCTTGCTTATTCAGCTCTTCTATTTCCAACACAGGCACCGAGTTCTTGCAGGTAAGAGTACATGAACTGCAGATGTGCAGTGGAAGGGAAAAGGATGGGGGACAGAGAGAGATGGATGCAAACCTCAGTCTTAGGAGACAGACCACTGTCCATCAATCCCCAGGATAGTGGGAGTAGCAGGAAAAAAAAAAAACAAAAAACAACAACAACAAAAAAAAACAACCCAACACATTAACAGCCAGGCTGGAAGAGAGAAATAGAATGAGCAGCTGAGCAGAGGCAGACCTCCAGCTTGGAAAGTGAAAGAAGGTGGCACTGTCCAAAGGGAAAGTACCTTCCATCCTCCTCCCTTATTATTCAGGGCAAGACACCCTGACATGGGCACACAGCCATTTGTGCTCTGGGTTAGATGGCTGTCAAGGGAGGTGGTAGTGGCTGGGCACAGGAGGGGTGAAGTGAGCTGTCAGCATCCAGTTTGCAGAGGCATGTGCTCTCAGAGGTATTCTTGTAGAAAGTGCAGCAGCGTGATTTCATAGTGCTCTCCTGACTCAGGGCACCGAATACTGTGTCTTTCATTGGGGTAGATCTGTGCAGAAGCAGAGATGAGACAATTAATCAGGAGTTGCTTATTCAGCATGGACAAGCCTCTCTCACTTTGTGCCCAGTCTCTATCAGGACAAAGGAGTGCCAGGAGATGTGTAGAGCACCCAGCCTGCCTCTCACTTCACTGCAGTGATGTGCACTGCCACTCTGCTCAGCAAAGCAGCCACTTCTGCTGCCCACAGCCATGTGAGAAGCAACAGTTCCAGGGGAGAAGGAAAGTTCCAGACTTGAGGGCAGGAGCCCTATTTGCAAATGCTTTTAGACAGAGGCCACATCAGCTAGCAATGAAGCAGTCACAGTGCCACCTCCCGGTCACCCGTTGAAGTCAAACAAGGCATTTACTATCAGCTGTGTTGCAACAAGAGCAACACGTGGAAGCATCCGCATCTACCTTCTCCCGCACTCAAGGCAGGAAGCATAAAACTATCTTGCTAGATTTAACTAACCTTCCCACTTCACTCTTGTTCCCCCTACCTGAAGCTGGTACGGTTTTCCAGCCCGGATTAACTGTGATACCAGGAAGTTTGTGTGAAAAAAGTGCACATTTTCATCCAAAAAACCATGGAGGATCAGCAAACGATTTGGCCTGAAGATGAGATGAGAGAGAATATGAGAATCCAAACAAAAAGCTCTGAAGTGAGTCTGAGCAAAGAGCTGCCATTCAGCAAACTAAAAACTGAACAATGACCAGGCAGCAGTCAAAAATAATTTAAGGCCACAGACAGTGATCTTCAGCCCCTTCACCACTGGCAAAGGAGGCTGGATATACGATGCCCCAGCCTGCTGCAAAAAGCAGCAACCAGCCTCATGAGTTAAAATAAAACCACCTCAGAATTCATCCATTCTTTTGGTATTCAGCAGAGGTGCAGCTGATGGCACCACACAGCATCTGGAAGCAGGTTTTTAGCAGATTACAGCCCCACAGTACTCACTCATTGGGAAGCTTCTCTACATGTAATGCCACAGAGCCAGCCTCATAACCTTGCTGGTTGTTTTCTGGGATATCCATGTACCGCTCAGTATACCCGGTGTCATATGCCATCCAAACTGTGACAGGAGCACCTGCTATAGCAATCTGTCAAACAAATAGGTGGCAGGAGACAACTTCCATTATCAAGTGCTAAAGAGTTCAAGTATTCTCTGCTTCCTTGATGAGGGAAGGGAAAAAAAAATTCTGGACAATTCTATCACTCAGACCGATTCTTCCACAACAAAACCCATATAAAACCCGGATTCCAACTCATGCTGTTTCTCTTGTAACCAAAGTCAGGCAGACTCTATCCTAACAGCACCTAAAGGCTTCCACTTTCAAGGAAAACAAGTGGAATAGAACCAGAAACCTGCTGAAGACTTGGGAAGTGCTTAGGAATAGTGTATCAATCATCTTATTTGATAGTATGCCAAGTCTTCCATCAGTAGCCACTGGGATGTGACTCTATCCCAGAGACCCCATCCTCTTTATGTCTCAGAAAGTACAACCTGCAAGCAGAATGCAGGGCTGTATGCTAGAGCTACAGGCAGAAAGGACTGAGGGTCATTTTCGCCTGGCTTTTTTGTTTGATGTTTCTGATGGACAACTCCAGATACCAAGAGCTACAGAGGCTGAGAAAGCTACGAGGCCCAAGATAATGCTCCACCACGTCTGGACTTACCTTGAAGACATTGGGTTTACAGATGAGACCCATGAGGGAGAGAAAACCCCCATATGACCAGCCATGTATGGCTACTCGACTCAAGTCAATAAACCCGTATTTTTCTGCTACATAATGTAAACCTTCCACTTGGTCCTCTATCTCCACCTGACCCTAAAGAGCAATAAAATAAAAAAAAGCTGAAGTTAGTGGCTTTATAAGCCTGAAAACTTAAGAAACCAATAAGGCATAAGTAATGCTCATGCAGGCATACGTTCAGCCATTGAAAAAGCAGCCTTTGAAAAAGGAACAGAGATTAATCAAAAAAGTACATTACCATTTGGTTTTTCAGGGCTCCTTCAAATCTGAGTCCTCGCTGGCATGAACCCCTTCCATCAATCACTACCACAGCATAACCTAGGGATGCTAGCGTGTTTAGCCGTAAGTATTTGATTCCTTTAAAGGAATTATTCACCAGCTGCACCTGCAGAAGATAAAGAAGTTTCAGAACCAAGCAGCTACCTTCCACTATCCTGCTCCGTCTGTTTCACCACACAGGATGGTGAACAGGACAGCAGCCACTAGATGAGCTACCAGAGACAGATGTATCAGTCTAAATGCTTAAAACATCATCTCAGGTTTGAGGCAGAGGTCAGAACAGAGGTTCAGTTTAAGTCCTGACACATGACTGAGCTACACAGAACTCTGCTCTGCACAGCAATCAACTATCTGGACTATTACCTGAGGACCTCCATACACAAAGAGCACTGTGGGATGCTTCTTCCCAGGCTGGACATCATGAGGTTTGTAGACCATTCCATAGAGCTCAACATCTGATTGAGTACGGAAGTGAAAGATCTCAGGTGGGATGTAATCTGGGGGACAACCTGCAGAAGCAAGTTCACACAATAGCAATGCAATAACTAAAGCAGACTCTGTCTTCTACCCAATCTGAAAAACCTCATCCTCTTAGCCAGGGCTCTTTAAATACCCAAACCGTAACAAGATTTATCACTGCCTTTCAGAGAAACCTCCCACTCAGATACCTGCCTACATAGGTCAGTAGGCCATACATGCAGAGAATGGATCACCCATGAACACATATTCAGCCAAAAATCTTCAAATAAGGCATGCTGTGCTGTAAGTGTAAGACTTGACAGGTTGAGAACAGACATGGGTCAAATAACCTAGCAGTTACACATTGTGCAGGACTTACTGGCTGCCTCCATCATGCTAGCCCAAAACTTGGGTTGCTTATGTAGCGGATCATCATCGGAGCCACTGAGCTTGTAGACATGCACGCAAGGTGGAGTGCTCACACTGCTGTAGTGGCTGATGAACATGTCAAAATTCTACAGGTGGAAGAGGAAGAGTTAGGGGAATCGAGGTCTCATTTCCCACAACCAGCCTCCTCCAACTGTTCTTAGATTAGAGCTCCCACATCTCAAGCAACCAATACAAAAGTCCCCGGTAATCACTGCATTACTCACTACCACTCCCTGTTAGACAGGAGACAAGTGCATCTTGTGTCTATACAGAATCACAGAACGGCCAGGGTTAGAAGGGACCTCAAGGATCGTGAAACTCCAACCACCCCTGCCAAATACAAGGCTACCAACATCTCCATTTAATACTAGACCAGGCTGCCCATGGCCCCATCCAATATGGCCTTGAACACCTCTAGGGACGAGACATCCACAACCTGTCTAGGCAGCACCTGTTCCAGCACCTCACCACTCTCTCTGTAAAAAACTTCTTTGTATCTTCTGTAAATAACTTCTTGTAAACAAGATACAAGAACAACAAACCTGGCTCATAGAACAGCTGTGGGAGAAGCCTGGTATGGTAAGTCGCACAATT